AACTAGCTTTTTTTTTTCCTTACCAAACGAAATTTTATTTGATCAAGGTACTCTGATGACATAAACTAGATTCAAAGTTGCAATGCCTGACTGATTCCATCTCCCTCGCAGTCTCAGTGCTCTGCCAGGGGACCTCAAGGGTCCTGACAAGCTTAATTTAAAAACTACTGGACCTGATGGTCCCCCCAAAAAAGTTACAAGAGAGAAAACAATTACAATTAACAAAATGGCAGTATAAATCCCTTCCTTATGAGTAACTACTTTTAAATTAAAGTCTGCAAGCAAGATTTAAAGTGGCTGAATGAATGAATGAATCAATCAATAAAAGGTCTATAGTTGGATCTATAAGAGACTAACTTTAGATTTAAGGACACACATAGGATGACAGTGAAAGGAGGGAAACGATAGTCTGTGCAAATGATAACCACAGGAGAGCAGGGGGCCACACCTGTCCTGGAGTTTCAACCTGAAGGATGAGCTTCAGGTTTGCCACACATGCAGAGGCTACAGAGATGCTCTCAGTGACTGTATCTGGGAGACACCATTCTTGCTCTTCCCTTTGGCCTCATCACAGTTCACTGGTACCTCCAGGAAAAAAGCCTATATACTCATCTAAACCCCTGATTTCTGAAACTGTCACCCAGGGGATATCTCTAGATCTCACAGTCCAGAGGTCAGCAGGACTTATAACTGCAGTCCCACCGGGCAAATACTATTAAAGTACCTCCATACTTTCATAGTTGCTCCCTACGAAGCTGACTTCCAATCAGCTTGAAATTATGTGCTGACTGAAATCTCTCCCACTGGAAAGTTGACAGATCTTGGCACATCTTCAACAACTGGGACCTATGAAGACTAAACCAGGCTACTTAGACCATCACAAAGGATGGAGAGACAACCAACAGCTAGGGCAAGGCTGAATGATAAGGTTCATCTTCTACACAAGCCCACTCCTTCAACACTGGGAGAGGTAGCTTTCCTGCTTAATACACAGAAACAAACACAGAGAGTCAAGAAACATGAGGAAACACAGGAATATATTCCACATACACACAAAAAAGAAAAAACCTCAGAAAAAGATCTTAAAGAAATGGAAATAAGTATCTAGCTAATAAAGAATTCAATGTAATGGTAAAAAAAAAAAGGAGACTTACTAAACTTGGGGGGAAAATGAATGAACACAGTGAAAACATCAACAAAGAGACAGAAAATATCAGAAAGTACCAAACAGAAATCACAGAACTGAAAAATGCAGTGACTGAGTTGAAAAATACACCAGAGGTGCTCAACAGCAGACCAGACGGAGCAGAAGAGTGGATGAGTGACCTCGAAGATAGGGTGCTGGAACTCACCCAAACAGAGCAGCAAAAGAAAGAAAAAAATGTTGTGAAGACAGCTTTGAAGGCAACCATGGGACAACATCAAGCAAAATAACATTCACATCACAGGGGTCCCAGAAGGAGAAGAGAGTGAGAAAAGGGCACAAAACTTATTCAAAAAAATAATGGCTAAAAAATTCCCTAACCTGGGAAGAGAGACAGACATTCAGATCCAGGAAGTACAGAGAGTTTCAAATAAGATGAACATAAAGAGATCCATACAAGACATATTATAGTTAAAGTGTCAAAAGTTAAAGACAGAATCTTAAAAGCAGGAAGAGAAAAATGACTTGTTATATACCATAGATCCCCCACAAGACAAACTGATTTTCAGCAGAAACTTTGCAGGCCAGAAGGGAGTGGCATGATATATTTGAAGTGCTAAAAGTTAAAAAATAACTTCCAAACAAGAATATTCTACCCAGCAGAGTTATCATTTAGGACTGAAGGAGAGAGTGTGTTTTCCAGACAAGCAAAAGATAAAAGAGTTCATCATCACTAAACTGGCCTTACAGGAAGTGTTAAAGGGATTTCTTTAAAGTGAAAAGAAAAGGCACTAACTAGCTACAAGAAGACATGAAAATAAAAATCTCACTGGGAAAGGCAAATATAGAGTAAAGGTAGTGGATTAACCACTTACAGTGCTAGTATGAAGGTTGAAAGGCAAAAGAAGTTGAATTAACAATAACTATAACAATTAGTTGAAGAACACACAAAAAAGATGTAAAATATTATGTTAAAACATAAAATATAAAGGGAAGGAGTAAAAATAAAGAATTTTTTAGAATGTGTTCAAACTTAAGTTGCTATCAACTTAAAATAGGCTGCTATACATATATTGGCTGTTACATGTAAAACTCATGGTAACCA